TAGTGCAGTTTCTGAGGTATTCTCTGCTCCTAGTTTGTACTTTGCACACACAGGGGTAGATGCAATGATCTAATGCCTTCTGCTATCTCTGAATTCTATTATATCTAAATCATTTTTAATGCAGACATCAGCAACAGTATTTTTCAAGATGATGTAAGTGATCCCCAGTTAAACATTCACGCCCTGAGGAAGGTTACTTTAATATTCTAATATATTACACTAATCTGCTATACTAATCTCTTTAAGTCAGCCAATGAATGATGCTTGCTGGACAGGATAGTATGTAGATAGTATTTGCTGTGTTGAGCTTTAGAAAATATAGGAAAAATGTGTTTCCTTTCAAAAATGTGGGACAGTCACAATTTTATTGGAAAACTGACAACGTTCCAGAAAGTTTAGCTCTAGCAAGTGTTTATAACTAGAATTCTTATTCAAGTCTATCAGTCATTGGGGTTTTTTTTCCACTTTTCCTGTTTTTTAACCTGCATCAGCATTGAGGCTTAGAAAAATCAGTTGCAAAATACATTTCATAGTGTTAAAATACAGTGTCAGAGCAAGCACTGAAATGAGACTTCCCAGCATGATGTTCTATCCTGGCATTAAAAGGACAGATTGACTTTTACAGCATTCCATTACAAAATTTTGTATAGATGTTACGATTGCAAAGTCAAATAACAAATAGCTGAAAGAGGACAGGCAGAGAGTGACTTTGCTTTGCTTTACTTTTACCTTTTTCATCAATTAACGGTATGACATTATCCATTATCTTTCTGAAGCAGAAATGCAGTGGGGGTGGTTTTTTAACCACTTCATAGCTTTTCACTGGGAGCCACATCCAGTAGTACAGTTTATACTTCTGTGAAGTTGTAAAGTATTTTACAGCTGCTGGAATGTGTGTGTAAATACCACCCTTAAAGTTTAGATTTATTTTGATAGCAGAACAGGTAGGAACATTGCTTCTTTACTCCAGCAGAACCCATTTTCATAATCCAGGTAACATTTCCAATTATACTGATTTCAGTGTAAAATCAGCAGTTTGTCTATTAGCTCAGCTTTCTTCATACAGTTCCATTACTTGTGTGCTAAACAGTGCAAAGCAGTCAGTACTAGATCTAGAAGCCAATGATGGCGTCACGTTTAAGGACAAATGGCTAGTAAAACTACCATTGTGGTGAACTATTTTTTGCAGAAGAAAATATGAGTGGATGGTTGCAGTTGGTATCTTCTGAGTAGTATTAATTTAGCCAATGATGCTTTAACCATTTGAACCAAGAATCTGAAAAGCTTTACCAAAGATACAAACATAGTGATTTGATTATTTTTCTCACACTGGTGGCTTTCTTTGCAATTTATTCATTCATGTTTTTTTTAACTGTGCCCTTCCTAAGAACATATACTTAAGGTAAAAAAAACTGGCCAGCCTTAGGCCAATTGCATATTTAAGTTGTATTTTCCTTAGAATCACGTCACTCTGAAAGGCTCCCCAGTCTGTGCTGCCACTGTCAAATTTCTGTGTAAATGGAGCGAAAAGTCTGTGTTTTCAGATCTCTAGCTCCAACCTCACAACTGAATTGACGGATAAAAAAAATTGCCTTGAGAACGTGATCACTGACAAAACTGCCAAAAATGAGCTGGCTGAGAAACCTTTTTTTCTTAAGAAACTTCTGGAACTTTAGGATGATTTGAACAAACAGGTTTTGGAGATCTTCTGTTTCAGACTATTTCAATCAATCAGACACTGCAAAAGGCGGGGGGGAGGGAGCAGAATAACTCTGTGTTTTCCCTGAAGAAGTGAGTGATTTTTTTTTTTTTCCCACTTGAGGAAAATTGTCACTCTCATCTTCAGTGAAAACATAATCTCAAGGGACTTAAAGCTGCCAGGAATATGTGCTTGCTCTTTTTGGGAATCTACATTTATTTCAATGTAAACTGAATAATGTCATCTGGAAATTAAGCCCTTGTTATATCCTCTTCCATATTCTTGATGCAAATCCAGTTGAAGTAAAATTTAATGATTTGTAGATAGGTCCCATGTGAAACAGTGATCCGTATATGCTACTTTCCTTTCTTTCTGGCCAGAAGCAGGTGTTACATGCTTTCTCTGTTATATAAAAGAGCAGAAAGAGAACTTGGAAGTGTGCACACGGTAGAGACTTTAACTAAGGAAGTACCATAGCTTGTTCAGCCCATTTGCCATCTGTCTCAGAAAATGGAAAAATTATGATTAAGATTGTAAATTTTTTCACTGTACGTGGGGATGAATTAAAAGCCTCTGTGATTTTATGTTGTAAGTGACTGTTCTAGTCCTGGCCAGATATTTTGCTATTGCAGTAGTTATTTGGCTCTATGCATTTACTTAAGGAGAGAATTTGGGTAACAATTTAGAGGGTCACAGAATGTAAGGGGGTCAGAGTTTACCGACCAGTGGATGAATAAATTGTCTCTGCTCATCAGAAACTTTTAGGCAAGAAAAACTACATCCATAGAGTGGCAATTAATGAACCTATGTCCAAATGAATGGATGTACAGAATAAAGTTCTGCAGAGGTTTGTCTTGCTTCTGGCATAATCCAGTAATACTGATAATGATGTGGATTACATGATGAAGAATAACCTTATTAAATTTGATCATGACATGAAGGGAGGACAGACTGCAGATATGCTGAAGAACAGGACTAGAAATCAAAATCCCCTTAACAAACACTTAAAATGGGCTGAAGAATGTAAGGTGCTGTTAAATATAGACAATAGCAGGCATGATTAATCGACTGTGAAAATATAGTTTGGAAAGCAACTGGCTCTGTAGCAAATTGTTTGCAAAAAATGAGTGGCTTTAGTGGATTACAAACTGAACATGAATCAACGATGTGATACTTCTGTTTAAAAACCAAATATCCTACTGGAACAGGAATATAATCCATGAAACATGAAATAATCCTTCTCCTTTGCTCCGTGTTGGTAAATCTGGTGCTGTAGTGCTGTTATGCACTCATCACTTCAAGAAAGATGTGCTAGAATCCAGAGGAGACTAGTGGAAATTATCAGAGGTTTAGGAAATACAGCCTATCAAGGAAAATCGAATGAGTTGCTTTCTTCATCTGAAGAAGGAGACTTTCTAGTATTATTCAAATAAATACAGCCTACTTAAAAAGTGGAAAGGAATTATTATGTTCCATATCCTGGGTGGATTCCACAAGAAGTAAGGGGTTTAAATTATGACAGGTAAGATTCAGATTAGACATTGGGAAAAAAATATTTTAACAATAAGGACAGTGAAGCACTAATTGCCTGGGGAGTTCTTTAGGCATCTTTGATAAACGTCAGTTAATAAAACACAAGGATAATTGAACTTTGCCTTGGATGCTTAGAATTCATCAAGAGACTTTGGTCTTTCCAGCCTGACTGATTCAGTGATGTGCCGAGAGATGTACACGTAAAATTCAGGAGAAGAGGATAAAAAAGAGAAAGGTTTGGTTGGGAGTTAGCACTTCCTGAAAGCCAGTTTAGAATCATGGAATCGTTTAGGCTGGAAAAGACCTTTGAGATCATAAAGTCCAAGCGTTAACCAGTTTGGAGGGAAAAGTAAAAAAGACGAAAGGTTGGGACTTTATGGAAAGTGAAATTATTAAAAGTCACATATGCATCCTGAACCACTGGACTGGCTCCTATTATGTTGCTCCATTTGGATCTAGGAATGGGTGTATTTCCTTCATCCTTCAGTAATTTCAGAGCCAAGCTGCTTCTCAGCCCTTCCCACTTCTAAGGAACCACCTGGCTGCGGCTAATCACACAGCTGTTGCCAACATGAAGGATTTTGGTAGTTTTAATACTGTTAGCAGAAAAGAAGTGGTTCCTTTAGAGGGCTAAACAGGTAAAAACTCAGCTGGGTGGGAAGGCAGGTGGTGTAACACAAATAATCTGTGGAAATGTGTCTTTTACACAGAAGGCTTCTTGTATTATTTGGGCAAAAGACGTTAAAGCTTTGATATGTGAATGTGTTGTAATATGCTTAAAATGAGAGGTTGTGAGAGGCTTATACAGAAGTATAAACATAAAAATGTTGATGTTTAATGACTGGAATAAGGTATTGTAACTATGCTTTGGGACACGTTACATGAAACAAAGGTGTGGATGAGATGACTTTGGTTATGAAAGGGCATGTTTTGGGGAGGGCTTTTGCAGCACTTTTCCCCAGGTGCCATCTTGGATGCCAGGCCTGCCCGGCCTAAACTAGCGCTACCGGCAGATTTTGCCTCACAAAAGTGCTTCTTTAACAAAAAAGCGTTAACTTTATCTCCTTATTTCTGCTCACGTATGACATCTGCTCGGCATGTCAGTGTGACTAGTTAGGAATAAACCTATCCAGAGGAGCAGGTCTGCCGGGTAACTCGTCCCAGCCCAGAGCTGTGGGAGTTCAGCTGGTGGTGGTGATGCCGCAGATGTCGGTGTGGCCCTAGGGTCCCCGCCCCCGGCCACCCTTCTTGTCCCCTGATTGTCCCCCTGTCATGGTCCTGCTGGCTGCTGCCAGCCGGGACGGGACAAGGCAGGGGCAGGTCTCCAGCCTGCTGCTCTGTCATAACTGAGGCAGGATCTGTCATATTAACATCTCAGTCTGTAACCTATGGATATCACCTGCACACAAGCAGTAGTTTATTTTAATACAGCCATTAATGGGGACAGGGCTGGTTGCAGTGGGCTGCAAAGCCCTGCAGAGCAGCCCTCACTCGAGGCAGGAGGGATTGAGGCCTTTCAGAGGCCTTGCACTTAGGGGTGAGTTGGGCATGCTTCTCAGACGTGTTTTTCTACGCTGTAGTTTCATGGTGTCTATTCTGTTATAACTTGTGTGGTAATCAGTGGCATTGCCCTGGAATAACGAGGGCAAAACTGAGGTGAGCAGGAGTTTAATGTAATATTGCCTCATGTTCACAGTATGCTGATATTCTTTTTTTTTTTTTTTCCTCCCCCTCTCTTCAGGACTTCTGATTTAAGTAACTGATCATCATGTCTGACCCCGTTGTTCTGCGTAGCATCAAGAGATTGGGAGAGGATAACTATGCTTTTGACTTGGATGGAAAACGTAAGAATTTTATTCTTTAGCCAGCTTTTTATTTTATAAAGCATGTAAAATAGGTGGTGGGTGGCCTAAGTGGAGCAAACAGTCTACAGAATACAAAGCAAATAGTCTGTGGAATAAATATAGTTATGTGGTACCTGCTGTTATGGTTATGCTGCCTGCAAAACAACTTTTCTATAAAACTACCTATAACAATCGCTACTTGTGGCCAATCTTCATTATCAGCCTGCAAGTTCACAGTATCTACCTAGGTTTTTATACTCAGCACTTTGGTGTACAAGTAAAGGGCCTTTACTGGGGGAAAAATAAAAAAAGTTCTGTCTTCTGTAGTTTCTACAGCTGCTTTCAACAAACACATATATCTGTAGTCATACTTGTATTAGGCAGAATTCTTATGAGTTATTGCTCTGTGAAGATCTGCATTCCTTCTCCTCATCAGAGCTTTTCCTCTTCCATTTTTCCTTTGCAATGTGCACTTTTCCATTTTGCCAATCCAAATGCAGCAAGAGTCAAGGAAAAACATGAACAAAAACTGCTCAATATTTCGAGTTCTGTTTGTAAGACTTGAAAAAAGCAGACAAAGAGAGGGGTGTTAAATATTTATATTGAATGTAAGGTACAAAGGAAAGCAAAAACAGTAGCACATAATGGAAGATAAATTGCAATACAATGCTATGCTCCTCACATAGAGTAAAAAGGGTTCACAAAAGGATTCCAGCACTCAGATATCACCAGATTCCCTAAGCATACATACATTTTGTATTTTCAAATTCCTTGACAACTGTGGCCTAATCCTGGAAGTGTTTAAGCTTTCATTAAAAACATTCTTCTAGGACACAATGAAATGCTTCAGACTATGCATGAAATAGCCTGTGTTCTAAACACAGGCCTTACTGGGATTTAGAAATGTGGCATTCACTCCCAATTTCACCTGCTTCATCACAAAAATAGGTGCTCTCGGGTCGGCTCTGAACAAAACACAGCTTGAAGAGGAGGGATGCTTTTTATTGTGGGTTCTCTTTTTTTTCTTTTAACTCATCAGATGTATTGTTAGAACAATCAAGCTGGATAGTGATAAAGACTATGCAGTTTTATTTGCTTTGAAATACTTATGACAGATTACCTCCAGAAAACTGGAGACTCATGTTGAAAGACAGTCCCTCTCTCCTGGAACTATTTTTCACCAACAAAAAGAAATCAAAGCAAACCATACTAGACTGAGTTACAGTGACATTTTTTCCCCTGCTTAGACAACAGCTCAGGTTTAAGGCAGTCCAGCCTCAGCCTCTTTTGTTCTGTGGGAACCATACGTCTACCTTTTGTTAAACCTTGTGGCATGCAGCAAAATTCTTCACATAACCATGTATATCATGGAATTTCAGACAATTATCAAACTTTTTCAAGACCTTATGACTGATTTTTAATCGGAGAGCTCTCTTCAAGCCTCATCTCCCTGCTATATAGCAGCACAGTTTCCCAGCTATAACTTGATCTGTGATGATGTCTGTTGTTATTTTTAAAACTTAGTAGTTGCTGATTGATGCTAAGTCTGTATTTCAAATCTAGTATCATTCATTGTTTGAGTTTGGGATTTCCTTCCAATCTTTATCTGTAATAGGATGTCTTATAGGACTGTTGGCATAACAGTAGAGTTTGAACATATTTGGAGTATTCAGTCTGAGCTTAGACTAGGCCTTGATTGTGGTTATCTTTGTAGAGATTGACTGATGTCTGCAAACATAAAAGCAGCTGCTCCATTAGAAGACAGCACATGTGCTTTTTTTGGTCTGACATTAGAAACTGAACAAGAGCTTTACGTGCAGAAGGTGTTATTTTACCACCTTCTGTCTCTCTGTGTTAGCCAGATAATTCCTTTGGTTTTAACTATCCTCATCAAAACTCTCACTTTGCTGGGATTATTCTACTAGTCTAGATAATCTCCTGTTCAACAGATTCAAAGGTCTGTTTTTGTTCGGAACTTCAAATCTATTGTCACAGCTGGTAAGAAGATAGTGTAGGAAACTATTCTCCAAATAACTTGAACGTGTTCTTAAACTCAAAGCTGGCATGCTAGATTCTGCAGCTGATATTGAAGTCTGCAACACTGGAGCAGCCACCTCAGCTCCATGACTGTGAAAGAAACCAATATGAACGTTTTCTGAAAGTCTGCTCTCTCCCCAGTATATTGCTACATAGAGTCATAGAATCATTAAGGTTGGAAAAGACCCTTAAGATCATCGAGTCCAACCCTTAACCTAGCACTGCCAAGTCCAGCACTAAACCATGTCCTCAAGCACCACGTCTACCCTTCTTTTAAATACCTCTGGGGATGGAGACTCAACCACTTCCCTGGGCAGCCTGTTCCAGTGCCTGACTACCCTTTTGGTAAAGAAGTTTTTCCTAATATCCAACCTAAACTTCCCCTGGCGCAGCTTGAGGCCATTTCCTCTCATTGTGTCGCTTATTACTTGGGAGAAGAGACCGACCCCCACCTCGCTACAACCTCCTTTCAGGTAGTTGTAGAGAGCAATAAAGTCTCCCCTCAGCCTCCTCTTCTCCAGGCTAAACAACCCCAGCTCCCTCAGCCGCTCCTCATAAGACTTGTGCTCTAGACCCTTCACCAGCTTTGTTGCCCTTCTTTGGACACGCTCCAGCACCTTGATGTCCTTCTTGTAGTGAGGGGCCCAAAACTGAACACAGTGCTCAAGGTGCGGCCTCACCAGTGCCAAGTAAAGGGGGACGATCACCTCCCTGGTCCTGCTGGCCACACTATTCTTGATACAAGCCAGGATGCCATTGTCTGTCTTGGCCACCTGAGCACACTGCTGGCTCATGTTCAGGCAGCTGTCATCCAAGACCCCCAGGTCCTTTTCAGCCAGGCAGCTCTCCAGCCACTCCTCCCCAAGCCTGTAGCATTGCATGGGGTTGCTGTGACTGAAGTGCAGGACCCGGCACTGAGCCTTGTTGAATCTCATACAGTTGGCCCCGGACCAACGATCCAGCCTGTCCAGGTGCCTCTGTAAGGACCTACCCCAGCACACTGCTCTGCATCCTGCTGGAATGAGCAGCCATCTGCTTGCTGAAGCAGTACAGATCTCACCACTCCCCTCCCCTGCTGTGTTTTGTTTTGTTTTTAAAACTTCTCAGTTAGGCTGCTAACTGAAGGCAGTTTCAATGCATGGGGCATTGTGGGCTCTAATATTGGTGGAGAGTGGGGAAGAATGATGAGAAAAGGGAGTGAATAGGTAAAGGGGTATGTCCTTCTACTTCTGGGACAGAAGACTGTTTGTCTCTTCCAGCCACTTACTTAGAACTTCTCCCAGATTGCTCAGATTTATCTAGCTGATTTAAGGGGTTGTTTTTTGTCTGTTAGTTTGTCTTATGTACTTGTCGCTTTTACTTTTAGGATTTTGGCAAAAGACTTTCTATTAGGACCAAAGCTATTCCTCTTTTCACAGTTGGGGTTTTTTTGGCCTATCCAAGTGAGTTTGCCTCTGGTTTCTCAGTTTCCTTGGAAATGCACTGTGTTTCCTGCTTAATGTAGTGAGCAGTTTGTTGAACTGCTAGACCACCTTTCCCAAAGCAAACATCATTCCTTTAAAACCCTGCTGGCATTCTGGTGATTGATCTCTTCTGCTCTGTAATCTCCAGTAAGGTTTGTTTCAATAACCGTCTTTTGTACATATTAGTAAGAATTAGCCATCAACCCTAGAACACCACATCTGTAGGTGTAGGTAAGAGCCAGCTTTAGTTGGAAGCCTTTTGAGTAGAATTTTTCATCACTTGAATCAAGTATCAGATTTCCTCAGGCTCAACTTTTACTGTGTTCTCACAACACCAGTAAAAACTCAAATTCTTGGCAATGTTCTTCAGCTTTTCCTTGATTCTGTGCTTCTTTTCCAATTGTAAAATTTCTTTCTTAAATGCCTTAGTTCCTCTTTCAAAATTTGTTGAGCATTCAAATATTACTATAGCGTTTTTCTTTAGGGTTAATAAATTCTTTCATCTTCCCTGCATTCCTTTCTTTTCAATAAAAATCATGTTCTGTCCTCTTTTTCTATTTTTTCAATTGTGGCAGTGTGAACCGTTACTCATCTGTTTTTTTCTTTCAAATCAAGCATAGTCACCATCATTCCAAATTCTCCTCTTGCTTAAAAACTGCTGGCCCACAAGAACTGGCCCACAGTTCCTTGCACTCTTGAACAGTATTGGTATACTCTTGTTTCCCTCTTCAAGTTCATAGATCAGAGTTGAATGTTTATTTTGCTCTCTAAATTGATATGATTCAGAAAGCTATTTTACCAGACTCTTGTTCCTCCCGTTTTCCTCCCAGTAGCCAAATCCTTCATTTTTTTGCAAAACACGTTGCAAAAAACCAGCCTACAGAGGAAGCTTTCTCTAAACCTTATCTTTTCTGATAAACCCTGGAGAATCTTCTAGGAATGGTTTCAAACCATTACAGCTGTTACCAGCTGCCAAACTTCAAAAAACTGCAAACGGATGTTTCTTTTTCCTTCACAACCAGTTCTTTTCTAACACCAAATGATTCTTTAATAATTTTACAAATTAAAAGCTTCCTGGAAAATGTCTGGGATTCCTGGGATAGACATATGTCCTTACTGAAAGAATCTTTTAACCATCCCTGAGTAACAAACAGAGCAGAATAAACCCAATAGAGTCATTGTTAGCTAAAGCCAAATAAAGTTATCTTACTAACCCAGAAAGGAGATGTAATCAGCTGTTTCCTCAGTCTCAAACTCAGACCGCTTCCATCTAACATTGTTGCCTTGGGAAATGCAAAACCCTGGAGACAGTGGAAAAGCCTTCTTCCATTCGGTAGGAAAATGATGGAGGCAAAATTTGTGGTTGCAGTGACTTCTTTGCACCCTCTGTGAATTGTGATGCAAGTTCCTCTGGGTTTGCTCTGTGAGACAGGCATGTGCATGCTCAGTGTTGTGTCACTAGTCGTGAAGAAAGGAAGGCACGGCTTGAAAAGCATACTGTGGTTCTGAACCTGATGCTGAGCTGCCAAGTGCATTGTAAACAAGCAAGGTGCATATGCCCTGTGCCCTTAGATTATCCAAACTGTGCTGTATACATAAAACTAGCTCTTTATTCATTGTCATCTCAAGTGATGTACAGCAAATATTTTCTGCATCAGCCCTTATCATGACACTTCTTCTTTGGGGCCCCTGCAAACACAAGCTGTGCTTTAGGTATGACATCTTTAACAACATCTCTTGAAAGGGAGCTAAATCCAGACCTGTTCTGGGGACTAAGGAGCTGCCCTACAGCATAATTATATCTTGTAGTATAATTCCATTTCTCTAAGCTATGGTTCCTTAGAGAGTATCCCAGGAATAGACATCAGTGTGACAAGTTCATCTTACCCTCCAGGGGCACAGCTGCCCCTCTTCCACAGGATTTGCAGTCTCTAAGTTGTTGGAAGGCAAGAGTGAAAAGCTACCACTCCTCCTTTCAGGGAGCATGCATGGACTGCCAGTAGAGTAGTATTCCTTGATGAGCCAGTATCCAAGAGAACTAGTTGAATACTAGCAAACCGTGTGCAATGAAAACAAGTTGACTTTTGGCAATAGTCCTGAATAATGTATTTAGTGAAAACCATTTTGTCATCTGGGGGACTGCCAACTTGCGACTACTTCTTCAAGAGAAAGTAGGCATAAATTGATATAAACTTACCAAGGAATTTTTGGACCCATGTCAGTTCATGTCCCCAGCTAGATGTATCAGTGGGAATAAGATGCTTATAACTCAGGAATGATCAGGTCCTATGGGGTTCTAGAGTTTATGTTTCACATGTCTGTAAAAGATTATGTACTTTAACAATAATTATTAACTAGACTGTGCATTTATTTTCCCTAACAGGTAACAGCTTCAAGAAATCAGAGTAAGTCATGTACATAAAAGGAACGATCAGTATTTCTAGCAATATTCAAAGAAGTTAATGTCATCGGATCAAATCGATGCATTTATAGAATATATGGTATTTAATGAAAAGCTGTTCTCTGGAGTTGAACTGCCTTATTTGATACAACTGACAAAGGTAGACCAAAACAGCCCTGGAAACCTTTAAAAACACAGAGTAATGGCAGCAAAATATGGTCTTTCTTCCAAAAAATATTTTAATGTTCAAATTTATCTTTCTTCAGTGCTTTTAGTTTGAGAAATGAGTTTTTCAGGAATTTTAATCGATCTTGATTAATTTCTCTTAAAGCTTAACTGTGAGACTTTAAAATAAAAGGAATTAGCTCACATCATTTGAGCTCAGATATTAAGATTTAAATGTAGAATTCTAGATAGTTAAAAGCTGAAATGACTTAGAGACCTTGACCTTCAGCTATAATCTGAGATTTGAATGGGGTTAAGAGCCTCCCTCTTCCTAGATCTTGGGACAACTCTGTAGCAGACTGGGCATCCTAATGCGTGCTGTAATTTGTGCCAGCTCTTTCTGACACAGTATACACAGTCTGAGAACTACTCCTAGAATGAGGAAGCAAGAGCATCTCTTAATTTTTGTTTTTGTCAGGTTGCCTATCTCAGAGACCACCATCGCAGTATTCAAGGTCTACCATGGTCCTCGCACATATCTTGAAACCCAAGTTCTTTTGGACTTTCAGATGTAACACACATATGGTCCTACCTACTACACATATGAAGCTTCCTTCAGGCTTTCTAGGATCTGGTTTCTGAAAACTGTTCATGACAAATATAGCTTGAATTCATTTGTTTCACTGAAAAAAAAAAATCCAAATTCAAAATTCCTGTTTGTTCATCACTGAATGTACACAGCTGATGATTACTTGCTATAGTATGGATCCCATTCGTAATGGTGCAACTAGTCCTTTAGATTTTAACTGATCATACAGAATAGCAACACATAATGTGAGCACTGAAAGAAACCTGTATGGTAGGATGAGAGATTCTGCTGCCACTACGGACATATGAACATACAGGCAATATAAGAGGGAATGGGAACAGGACCTTTCTCCGTCCAGGTCTAGCCAACAACTTGGACGGTGGGTTTTTCTCTAACTGATCTCCAAGAACCCACAATCCACGTTATAGAAACACTGTTTTGAGGAGCTGCTTATGAAACAAAGTATAAACCTTCAGATCATTTTAACCTAACCTCTGTTCTAGTCCCTGTCTAAAATTTAAAAGAACCATCAAATCACTGGTTCCAAAGAAATCTGAAAGAAACAGCTTGTCTCTTAAAATTTTGGGCAAAATGTTTCAAATAAAATGTAATTTCAGAGAAGTAACCAAGAGAATAAAAGAATTAATGTAAAATCTTATCCTTTTTGCTAGGAATTGCTGTACATATGAAGAACCTTTTATAGAGAAGAAAAGCGAAAAGTAAGTTAAGTTTAATTCTGTGTAATATCTTTGCATATAGAACAAAATATGTACTTAAATACAAGTTCATAATTTTATGTTTTCTGTTCTTGAAGGTCATCAGAAAAGAAAGAAAACAGTATTCGTGTTGGCTTCTTTCAGCTGGTAATGAAAGCAATTGCTATAAATATTTTATGTGTATTGTGCTGCAGAATAAGTGACAATAATCTATATGGTTGTTTTGGGGAATAGCTGTGACTAAGCCAATCTTTTAAGGATTAAACCATTTGGCATGAAATCCTGCCATTAAAGTCAATGGGAATTTAATAGAACCCTTTGTCATTTTGTCAGCTTGGTATCAGTTACCGATATTTGTGTCATCATTGTCTATTAAACACATTATACTGAACCTATGGGTAGATACGGGGAAAAGAATTAAGATGCACAACAGGGATCTAGGTGACCTTGGTTCATTCTTATTTCTGCCAAAAATCTGCTGTGTGATATCTGGCAGATAACTTAGCTCCCTCGTAATTTCTCCATGGATATTAGAAGATCTGGTAACTACAGAAACTTGCGAATGCACAATACTGTATGGTATGTCTAGCCTTTGATGGATCTTAGAATCCCATAGGGTGCATTTAAATTTTAAAATTAATGTAACAGAGAGATGTCCAACCCAGCAGCATGCAGCTAAGAGGTTTTATTACTTCTGTTTTGCATGTAGTCTAGGCAATTAGTCTGTAATGTGTCCAGACAAATATCATCCTGACTGTTGTACTGGGCTAGTGCAGCTACATCCATGTGGCTTGTACTCTACCGGGCTAAGTATCTCAACTCTTAGTTGGGTGGAGAGAACAGTCTGTCCACACAGAGGGCTGTGTCTGTCAAGCAGAGGGGTTTGAATTCTGTATCCTGATTTGCACAGATGTTTAACTCCTAAAGTGCAGTTGGTAAACAGTATGTTTGCATCAGATGTGCTGAGAGATTAGATATCACACATCTGTGCATTTTCTGTGGTTTTTTTTTGTTGTTGTTGTTTTTTGTTTAATCAAGGGAATTCCTAGAATTCTTATGAGCAAGGTTTGCAAAACAGTGGTAGTGCTACAGTTTTCTTCTGACCTTTTTTGTGGAAAGACCTTTTCTTTCTCTTTTATGTTAACTGGCTTGTTTTTCCCTTTATCTTGTCTCTGCCCTAATGTCCCTTTCCCCTATGTGCTCCAAATTCCCACCCTTTCTTCTCTTAGACACATTATAGCACCTACAGAACCTGGACAGGTTCTTCAGCAGGCTATGATTCCTCTTTACACTCCTATTTCAAAATATATAGCATTTGATACTGATATTCTGTATGAACAGTTTGATCTGTATACTTATGCATGACTTCAACCTGAGAATCAGGCTTCATGCAATCATGACAAAGGTAACTTAAGTTGCTGCATCTTAGCTGAGTCACCACCTGCATGTGTGCATGCTCTTGGCCCATGGCAAATGTAAGGTACTAGGACTCAGCTCAATCTTTTTTTTACTGCATACTATGTCATATTTCTATACATTTCTCCCAGATTAAGAGCCAATGCACAATTGCCTGGCTCAGTCAAAGCATTTTAGAATATTAATTATGAGAACTTGCTCTGAGACGTTTAGTTGGCTTTCTACCACAGCACCCCAGACTTTTGAGAAATTGGCTAACTCTATTCAAAGACTCTGCATAATGCCCTAAGGCTTTTTCCTCCCTTCCTTCTCCCTCCATCCCCACAGGAGACCTGCAAAGCAGACTATATATATGAATTATAATTACTATTCTTAATCTTGTAGCTAGTTTCTGGAATGGTGATAATGTGGAATGATATTGAGCTATTAATGTTATATGATAATACATTCATTCTCACGGTCAGATTCTGCTGTCAACTAAAAGGGAGCTCATAATAATTTATGAGGGTGTAATCACAGGTGCAATTAGATTAGATTGGAGAGAGAGATTTGTCTTCTTTCTGTATTGAAGATAATTCTGAAACTTAAAGAGAATGATTTTGTATCTGATCCACCTGATTAATGATTTATTGGTATACAACTAGCATGAAGACTGCCTCTCAGCAGAGACCATATTTTTTTCCTGTCTCTTTAGTTTCGATTTTCTTCATCTATGGAAATTTTAATGATGGCTGTTGGTAGTTTCTGTGCTATTGTTCATGGAGCAGCCCAGCCAGCTGTGTTGCTTGTGTTTGGTGCAATGGCAGACACTTTTATTGAATATGACATTGAAATGCAAGAGCTTAAAGACCCAGGCAAGACATGTATAAATAACACCATAGTGTGGATTAATGGTACTATTCATCAGAATGAAAAGAACGCCACAGTAAGATGTGGGTAAGTAGTAGATATATTTGTTTCTTTTCCCTTGTTATTATGGCTTGTCAGAGAATGTATGGCTAGTGAAAGTCCACTTCAGCCTTTAAACTTTACATTTTCTATCCATAAGGCAGAAAAGGGGCATGGTTCTTGTTAGAGTCCTGTTTCTGAGCTGGAGATATTACCTGGAGGGAGAGAAGGTCTGCTTGGGTCTTGGTCTTTCAGCTATAGGTGTCACCAAGGATATTCTTTGATGATGGTTGTTCTGACAACAGATGTATCTGCTACACATCTGAGTTCATTAATCTGTTTTCTCTGATGACACTGTAGGTAATAATGACTTCTGGTCATTCTGGTTAGGACTTAGGTACCTACAGGTGCCTGCTGACTTCTAAGCAAGTTAGCTAAACTTTAGTCATTGAAGAGAAATGAGCGCTTCTAGGATGCAGTTAATCTTAGCTTATGGGAGATGTCTAAGGCAGGTGAGATGAACTGCCCTATAGGAGTGCCTGTTTCTTTCCATTAACTATAATAAATGGAGTCTAGATGATTCATTCAGATACAGATATCTGTCAAAGCCAAATTTGAACCTGTAACCTTTCCTAAGGCTCGTTTTTCAGTGCATCATTCTAAAAGTTTTCTAATCTCTGAGTGACATTTAATTAGATATTTAATTAGAATTAAAAGTTACTTGTCTAAAGGTCTCTGAAATTCAGAGCACATGGGAAGTGATTCACATTCCTAGGTGTAGGTGACTGGGGCCAAATTATTTGCTCCAGGTTGTTCAATCCAGCCCTCTGTGATGGGGCTGGCAGATAGAATACAGGATTTGCTATAGACCTCTGTTCCTCTGAAGCAGCAACTATGCACCAGGCAGGATATGTTGAAGCATTAAAAATGGTACTGGATATCTGTGTCAGGCACCCGAGTTGTTTCCATGATTGTTTTTCGCAAGAGATCAGGTCAGGTGCATAGTGTTACCTTCTGGCTTAAAATTTCAGTGTACCAAATTCTGGGTAAATAGAATAAAATTTGCTGTCTGCAGTATGTTTTAAAAAAGTTGTGTAAAAGCATAACCGGTAACGACCCGAAATGCCTGTTTCAAAGAAATCTAAATGCAATAGCAGCAACTCAATGCCCTTCACTGATATTAGCAGTAATTTAATACTCCTACTTGAGCTAAGAGAAATTATCATTTCATATTAGCAAGCTTATGGTACAAAGTAATACTTGAATTTACCTAATTTCTCTCTGTAAAACAATTTAAATCTGAGTGTTATTAGTTGGTATAATGACACAAAGCAAGTGCATTCAACATCTAATGAAAACTTACTGGGCAGCTCTTCCCTGAAACACCCTGTCACCTGTGCTGTTTCAGAGCATGCAGTCTGGTGGGGTTTCTCAGAGACTGCAGGGCGGCTCCAGGACAGCAGAGCAATTCCTGGTACCTCCCAGCACCGTACCCCTGTGCGACAGGCAGAGCAAGAAAACCAGCCACTGCTAGCCGTAGCCTCGGTATTGGGAAACAATGCTTCTGTTACCAAAACAAGCTGACTTGACAGCTGACATGACTAACTTGAAGAAACACCAGAATAGAAATCTGTGAGAGACTTAACACAGTATTGCTAACTTTTTTTTTTTTCTTTTTTTCAGGCTGCTGGACATTGAACAAGAAATGACCAAGTTTGCAGGTTACTATGCAGGAATTGGTTGTGCCATACTGGTGTTAGGATACCTCCAAGTCAGTATTTTGTTCCCTATTTTGATTTCAAAGTTAAATCACTAAATAAAGTTTAGAATAATTATGTTCCCTTTAACTGCTTAGTCAGCTGCCCATTTAAGCAGAGCAGATGCTTTCAGTTCTCATTCTATCGGCTGAAATAGGTTAGCTTTGGCAGTCTGAGACCTCCTTGGATTTTTGCCTGCATACCTTTGTACAAGGATACGTTTTACCCAGTGAGATGAATGCACGCTGCTCCTTTCATACCACAGGAAATACTTGCTCAAGTGTGGTTACCGTGGAATCCATGTGCCCTCCCAAAATAACAGCTGAAGGGCATGCAGATTCCCAGTAGGCATCTCAACTGTGTTGAGCCCTGTGCTTCTATTATGGAGATATTACAGACTAATAGTAGTGTAAAACTGGTGTTGGAGAAGAATCACACCCTACATATTCTGTAGTAATGGTTCAGTCCTTATGACTGAGATGAGCCACAAGCTTGGATGATTCCTGCATCACCTGCTAAAGGGTCCACTGCTTTTGAAGTTTTTTATAATTCCAAAATCACTTGTCATTCTTCTTTATACATTATACTCTTCCCAGATCTGCTTTTGGGTTATGGCTGCAGCTCGTCAGATACAGAAAATCAGGAAAGCTTATTTCAGGAAAGTAATGCAAATGGATATAGGCTGGTTTGACTGTACATCTGTAGGAGAACTGAACACCCGAATTTCTGAGTAAGTAATCTAGAAAAAACATATGCTACACAGAACATTTTGCACTTCCTTCCAAACACAACAGAGTGCCAATAACTAGGCATTTGACAAACACCTTCTAATATAAAATACAGCTATGTTCCTGGCTGATTATCTCCCCCATCTTCGAACTGGGTGCCGTAACTATTAAGCCACAATTATTTCCCTTTTGTGCCTTGTCTCTCAGTAAATGTGTGGGGGGGTTTTGTTGGGTTTTGGGGTGGGGGTTTTTTGCCACTTTGTCCTGCCCTTCCCTTCTCCTCCTGTGCCCAGTCCTTTCAGAGTAATCTCTAATTTGGCTACAACTGCACACTCCCCTGAGCCTGGAGATGTGGATTTGAACCCTCTCTCACTTCCCAGAAAGGAAAATTACATTAGGGGCACACTTTGCTTTTGTTTGCTTTTAAAACAGAAGAGTGAGCCTTGCTTAATCCTCTGCTAAAGAAGGTAGAAGCACCTACCTTTAGAAAGGGACCCAAGGTAGACGGAGAAACCTTCGTATCCTGGGTAAACATTTAGCCCTGAGAAAAGCAGAGCTTAAGTCTCGCTCCTTTTTTTAGCGGTTCCTGTTTACAGGCTGAAGGCAGTTGCGAGGTGAATATGCCGACTCTAGATGGCTCCCTGTTGTTGGTCGTGCCTGCATAATAGTAGTCACAGCTGCAGAAGATTTTTCTGTGGTTGAAGGCGGTTTTATTTGCCTTTACTCCCTGCCCAGTGGTATCTATGACTTTCTGTGGTGTTCTTTTTATGAATAATAAGTGCCAAGTGTAAGTTGCTGTGAAGAATTTCTGTGGCAAAAAATAGGTACTGAGCATGTATTTGTCTAATAAATAACACTTAGTTACCTGGTTTTTCGAACAACAATGTCCTGTGCATACAAAAAGCTTCCTGACTGCAAAAAAAAACATTCTCCAGAAGAAATATAAACATGTTCTTGAACTCAGCACTCTTAAATTTTTCAATAGAGGACTGTCATTTCACTTGCTATATCAATGAGCTAACAACTAAGCACTTTAAACCTCAATGCCACTTGCTCCTAGTTATTCCAGGAGTTCCCGGTTCTTCTGATCTCAGGGATGAGGTAGTAACCAAGAGTAGCAGAAGTATAATGTCTGTTTTGCTTTAAGACATTTTTTCTCTGTTAGGAATGCATAAGAGAGAACAAATGAACGCTGCAGCTGCCTAAGGGTTGGATGACATTAACTGCTGCACCACTGTCCCCCATGTGATAGAGCTGTTAATTTTTCCCACTGCCTCCAGTGATAAAGTAACCCTCCTCAGTTTTCCCACTCTCCCTCTCATTTAGAGAACAAACTAGCTGATAGGGTAGAGAGAAGAACTGGGAGGTGGTGGAAGGTGGAACTAGAAGAGAGTTACAGCCCTCCTCCCTTTTTCTGCCCCCTCAGCAAGGTGGTATGGTACATTCTCAGTGCCCCATGATGGGAGGAATGGCATATCAGATATACTGTTTTTCCATTATCAGACAGCTGCATCCAGCTGGGATGTCTCTGCCCCTCCTTTGAATCAGCTGGGGCATAGCAGTAAGAACCAGCTAGTGAATGAGTCTGCTGGCAGGACAGCTTTTCCTAGGAAAGGACAATATCTTCTCTGCAGTATTCATGCATAAAAGCCTTCCGCCATTGCAAAGGCACCAGGTTTTCTCACTGTAGCCCAGGGTCTGTGGAAGGGGTGATGGTGGAAAGAATAGGGGTGAGGAAGGGCCCTCTCCAAGGGATAGCAACTAACCCAAATGTGGCCAAGACCTGAAACACAAACGAAAGATATGCTCACCAGTCTTCTGTTGGTTTTTGTTGTTTTTTCCCCAGTGATGTAAACAAAATTAATGAGGCTATTGCTGACCAAGTAGCAATCTTTATCCAGCGCTTAACCACTTTTGTGTGTGGATTCCTCCTGGGATTTGTCAGTGGCTGGAAATTGACCTTGGTTATCATTGCAGTGAGCCCTCTGCTTGGGGTTGGAGCGGCTATCTATGGCTTGGTAAGTGAATTGTGGGAGGTTTGTGTTGAGGTATGATGAGCAGGGAAGGTCATGCCATAGAGCTGGGAGGACTGGTGGAAGAGAAGGCTATTACACCCCTTTAAAGTCAAGAGAGGCAGATTATGGTCACAGCAGTACTGGGGGTGGGGGAGCAGGGAGGCGGGCTTTGCTCCCGCTTTGCTTATTCTGATTCCTGGAATAATATATCCTGCTTCTAAGATGGGAGTGTAAGCACACCTTCTTTTGGGTCCTTTGGCTGGATATTACAGTTCCTGAGATTAGAAGCTGGCCTACACCTTCTGTCTATCACTACACACCTGGTTTAGATGGGTACTAGACATGGGGCTTGACTTCTCTGTGTAGATTAGGGGCTTTTAGAGATGATCAAGTTTTGGAACTGTAAAATAGTTCAAAACAACTGCTCAAACTTGCCTCAGGCTGTCCCTGCTCCTGACAGTGGCTGCGTCCTCTCCCAGTTGTTCCTGTTCTGCTCCTCCACGCGCTCCCTTCAAACTCCCTGTCACTGTGCAGGGAAAGGACAGTGAAGAGGGAAACTGCAGGACCCGCTGCCCTCTCACCTCCTCTCCCACACTCAGCAGGGCTGGGCAGTTCCTGCTCCTCCTCTGCACTGCCTCATGCTCTGCCCTTTTGTTGGGTTCAGCCCTTTGGCTCTCTCACTTCTTCCACGTCAGGAACAGTTTGCTATCATTTTGCTATCAAGTCTCTAATGTCTCTCTGACTAATTTCTTATCTTCCTGCTCTCCTTTAGCACCTTGTGCTGGCTGCAAGTAGATGACATGAATGATGACTCAGTGTCAAGTGGGAGAGCAGAATCCTGGCAGGGAATGCAATAAACCCCAAAATGCCTCTTTCCTTCATTTGCAATTTCTTTCTGAGCTCATTCCCCTTTATGTTTGTAATTTTCCCTCTTTCCATTCTTATTTCTGTCCCCATCTCTTTCCTTTCACGTACCCACTGTTAAGTGTTTCCTCTTTATGAGCTTTTCCAGCCCCAGTCTTTGTTTTTTACCACAAAGAAAACAGACCCAAGGTCAATCTAGCCTGGTTTCCTGTCTCCAAAAGTGGCTAATAGATGCCTGGGGTAGGGTATTTGAAAAGAGAAAGCAAATAATGACACTTTACAATTTCTAGTGATATGTCACTCCCAAGCCAATGTGGTATCCTTGTGTAGAATTGTACATGACTACATTTTCTTCCATTAATTCTTCCATTAATCTTCTTCCTGAAGCTGGGCTCTGCCACAGTGGCTAAAGGGCTGCTCTTGCCGCTTAAGCCCCCACTTCCTCCCATGATGCACAAACCCTCAGTCTGCAGTCTGCTTAAGCCCAGTTAGCGGCAGAGAGAGAGTGAGGGAGGGAAAGCAGGTGGTGTCAGTTGCTCTGTCTCGCTACCTGGAGCAGAGCTCTTGGCCAAGGGGATAACTGTTCTGCAAAACATATGTTACAGAGGTATATGCCCTAATACGAGAAGACAGAAGTCTTCAGAAGTCTTCAAGTGTGCAGCGTGCCTAATAAAAGCCTGCTCAGAGTCGGGGAGGTGACCTCAGGCAGAGCAGACAGCGCAGTGTGACAGCCAGCACTGCTTACCCCTGTCCTTGTCTGCACCTACAGTTCAGGTGTAACCAGCACTTCTCATGCTTTTGTAGGCTGTGGCAAAACTAACAGGCCGAGAATTACAGGCTTATGCAAAAGCTGGAGCTGTGGCTGATGAAGTGCTCTCATCCATCAGAACAGTGGCTGCTTTTGGTGGGGAGAAGAAAGAAGTTGAAAGGTTTGTTTGGACAAATTGTAAGGTCTCTAATTTCTTTTTCCTGTAGCAACATAACGCTGTAATGCACTTCGGAGACATGGCAGTTAGTCTCCAAATTCTACAACAATGACCATTTGTTAGCTTTGAGTATTATATGCATGTATGTTACAGTAATTTAGGTTTCAAATAACATCACATATGCAAAACCAGTTTCATAATTCAGTCAATCAGTGAAATAAAACATCAGCAATACTATCTTCAAGTCATTCCCACTTGTAGGAACATACTGACAAATTTTCCCCTAAACATTGTCTGATATATCACTTTTGCAGCACATCTGAAAACTTTGGGTACTTTCAAGCTAAGTAAGAGAACTAGTTCCAGCAAGATATGATGATTTGATGATATTAAGCTGCAAATTTCTCTTAAATTAATTTAAAACATAACATGGTTGTAGGATGTGCTCTTGAAGCGAGCAAATTCTCAAAGCTTGTGTCACTCTGATAAAACCCCAAACCCTGTGGCGAGGTATCTGCAGTGAGTGTGGCTTTCCTTGTGCTTATTACACTAGAACGTACAAGGATTTCATGTTCTGGGTGCATTGCTGGTTTCAGCAGTGGTCTGTTACTTCAGAGTGAGAGGTATCAACCCTATGTGGACCCTCTGTTAACTGTAGCACAGCCAATCATTGAAGACGCCTCATTTTGTTGCTCATTGCTCATTTTGAATTTTCTATCAAATTCATTTAATGCCCTTTTCTTTTTCTCTCTTTCTACAGATATGATAAGAATCTGGTGTTTGCTCAGCACTGGGGAATTCGGAAAGGAATAATAATGGGGTTATTCACTGGTTACATGTGGCTTATAATATTCCTGTGTTATGCATTAGCTTTTTGGTATGGCTCTAAACTTGTCCTTGAAGAAGAAGAGTATTCACCTGGCACTCTTCTGCAGGTACCCATCTCTGAAGAACTAACTTGGTGATGAAAAACCCCATTGTGGTAAAGACAAACCAGACCAAAGAAGTTTTATCAAATCTAACCTCTCTGTCACAAACAGTTTCTGTTCCTTTGAATCACCATTTTCTGTTGCTAATTGCCCACCCAGCTCTATAGATGACAAAGAACATGTAAACATAAATGCTGATAAAAACATATATGGCTGTAGCTCCTGCCGTGTATATAAAAAACATACTAACCTACACGGCCCTCATGCATCCACTTCTGCACAGCAGATGCTTTAGACACTGATGACCTAAATGCAAGAAAACCAACATCTACAGATATTTTGGCTATTTGATTTAAGCCAGGACTGCCCAAATGGCACGCTCCAGTCCAGACCCAGAGTAAATTTTGCCTGAACCTTGCTAAGTCCTGGGTGTTCTGATGAGACATCTATTTTTGATTCTTTGTCTGTTGCACACCATGAGAGCTCCCAACCACCAGCAGCATGCAGTGCAAAACTTCCTGTTAAATGGAGCTTGGTAAATTACTCTGAGAACATTGTAAAATTGAGTCATTCTGTTCAAGGAGGATGTCTCTCACAGGAAATGATTTGCAACTGCTCTTGACACCAGTAGCTGGTACAAGGTAGTGCTGTGAAAACCAAAGTGAGCAATTTCCTTGCCTTGCACATGATAACAATATTTCAGTGCTTCCAAATGACAAATGGCAAACAGTGGGGAGCTGCCCTGTAGCTGAAAAATTGTAGCTGTCAATGGAGGGACTCTCCCTTACACTCCTCTTCCTCTCTCAGTTCCCAGTCATCTTTCTTGTACTTCATGTTTTCTACCATACACTCCTAGTCTGGCAGGGGGGAGGAGGGGAGGATTTGTAGATACGAAACATTTAAATATGCTTTTCTTCTGAAAAACTGTTGTGCACCAGCCATACTGCATTGAGATACATTAAGCATTTCTTCTTCTATCAAACGTACAGAACCTGCTCCCTCGTGTTCATGATGGATTCTGACATGCGTATAACCTACTTGCTTTGGGAGTCGTTCACATAAGAAAATTAGTTTGTAGTAAAGCTGAGTATGAACTTACGGCATGATCTATACATCACAGTGTCGATGTTTGCAGTGCACAGTATGCGTACAGTAGATTCTTCCACTTTAGCCATGGGATTATTCTCAGTAAACATCACTATGGTGCAAGGGAGAACTGAGTCACGTATACTTTTCTTTCTTTCTCAACAGTAGTGTTTCCTTATACACCTTGCCCATTTATCCTGACTACTGTTTGTGTTGTATTCAAAAGGCTAGCTGAGTCCTTGATTGCTTCTTAGCAGAATTCTCAGGTATTGTCAAACTACAACAAAGGATTACACACCAGTTCTCCTAATGCTCAGGGTGAATGTTCAAACTATCAGCCACAACAAAGCAAAGAATGGACCAAAAGCCTACACCGAAGACATTATCCAAACATTTATAATCTGCTCTGCCAAACCACTTCTGTAACTGAAAAAAACTAAGGAGGAATAAAGCCGAGTAAATTCTAGGAAAAAAATGTTCATTCTGACAAGCCCACGCTGGTATAATAGCACTGAGAAGAGTAAGCTATACTTACGATACAATGCAGCTCACTCCTTATTGTAAAAACAAACAATGAATGCATTTGCACGTGTGTGGTATCAAAGTGGCACCTCAGTAAATTTACCTCAGTAAATATCTGGGTGCATATGTTTTTAGGCCAGGGCAAATATGACATAAGTTGATTTACTTCAGCCTGGAAGCAAAGTTGTGAAAGACAGTGAAAATCCTTTCTAAGATGCATTTGTTTGCTTTCTTGTGGGCTAATTATGCTCATATAGTGAATCACTGCAGCTCAGCTGATGCACAAGAAGTCATTAAGCCACTGTAGTTTCATTTGCTTGTCTAAGCTATAAACTGTAACAAAAATGTGATGTCGTATTTCGTTAATTTCTTTTTCTACTTCTTCAGGTTTTCTTTGGTGTTTTAGTAGGAGCTTTAAATCTTGGCCAAGCATCTTCCTGTCTGGAAGCCTTTGCCACTGGCCGTGGGGCTGCAGCAAATATTTTTGAGACAATAGATAAAGTAAGTAATGAATTTCTAATCTGTGTTACTTTGTAGTGGAAAAATAATTAAATAAGCCTCAAGCAGTAGTAGTTTTATCTACTGTGTAAATGAGGAAAAATGAGTGCAATTAAAGAAAAATTGATTGTGCAATAGAAAGGTCTAGCGGCATGCACATGGGCTGTTGAACAGATTTCTTAAGTGGCCTGTTTCTGAATAATGAAACAGCTACTGCTGTTTCTTACTCCCGTTTCTCCTTACGTACAATTACTGATCAGTGCTGGTCCACGGAAAGCGTACAGGCAGGCAGTAATAGTCATCTTGCAGCCAAACTTGCCACAAGCATCGAGCTCCCAGCCTCCAGATGTCATCAAAAGATGTGGCTCTATTGGCATTAGTGGCAAAGGTGGCCTCTGTCGCCTGTCCCAGAGCTACCCTGAGTTAAAATGAGACCAAATAAGCACAGGCACTGGTCATGCAGCAGTTGTAACTGTTAATCACAATATTATCTAGACAGATAGATATTTGAAATAAGGTTGTATGAGAAAGTCTGAGAGCCACTGGCATTTATTGATGAGGATTCCTTTCTATACCTGTATAAATTTGGTGGTTGGCAAAATACTGCTGATTTCTTAGCAGTACGTAGTATCTCTGGTCATTGACAAGCTTTATTGTGCTAAAAGCTACTATGTAAATACATTAAAATGCTGCTTGTCTTTTATAGAGCACATAAGGGTATATAAAGAAGGCTAGAGGGACTGTGGTAATGCTAATGGACTTTTTAGTAACCCTTCAATGTTCTGTAATAATGATAATACATGTGCCTTATCAATGCACTTCATAAGCTCTAAGATAAACTGAAAAAGATTAATAAAGGAAGTGGTTTTTAGAGAAAAATTTAAAAAGCACAGAAGAGTTGCAACAGTAAGAATTAATCACAAAATTCAACATAAGGTTGAGTCAGATAACCTTAGGGTAAAAAAAGCAAACTAAAGTGAGATTTCATCTGTGTAGAGAAAGGGTAACAAAGTTAGATCCGTCTGCTTGCTGCATTTGTAGATTTGTGATTAGACAGTAAAAGCACAGCTCTGCCTTGATACAGATTTTTTTTCTGGCACTAAACTTATAGCCATGCTGAGGTTCCCATTTGCAAGATCAGTGAAAGTTTTCTTCATAGCTTAGTATCTGAATTTCGGTGAGATATATTCCTAAAGGGGAACCAATCTTTTAGCTGCTAGTAACATCTTAGAACATATACATTTCTCATATTAAAATTCCCTTCAATCTGTTTGGTTACAGAAAAAATCATACATGTTTCAATTATAAAATATTGGTGTTGCTATAGTTTTAATTCATTCTCTGTGTTCCATGCTTCAAAAAGCTGTCCTTAGAAAATTTGATTTCTTTGGGATTCCTCAAATTTCTCTTAGTTCTCTGCTCATGTCTAGCAGTCCACAATACCCAAGGCCTGGCCAAAATTATGTGCGACCCAAAGCACTTCATGGGAAAACTTCAAATCAGGATTCCAGCTCTTAGGACTGGGTGTGCAAGGGTAGATGTTTTAAATGCAAAGTGATGAAGCGTGCAGATTTTCAGCAATAAATTGGTTGTTCAGTGCTGTAGGAGAATGTTTATATGAGCGAAGTAGTGCCATTTTATTCCTGAGGAGCTGGCTAAATTAACTTAGTCAAAATGCCTCACTGAGTCAGCTATTCTGTTCCAGCAAAAACTAGCTGAGTGGTTGACTGTGGTAATTGCAGGAAGCCTAAAATAAGAAGAGGGTGCACTCATCTTGCCTGTACTGCCCACCGGTGACAACTCTCCCATCACTGCGGCCTTCAATTTCATGTCCCTGGCCTGCTAGCCCTGGCCTGCTGCTGGCTCAGTGCAGCCAAGTGCTGTTCAAACAGAAGTGCCATGCCTTTGTACGGTATGGGGAATATTTATCTACTGCAGCAGTGTTGGCTGTTTAACAGCAAATAAATAACACAATAAATTCTATCCTAGAAACCCACCATTGACTGCATGTCAGAAGATGGCTACAAGCTGGATAAAGTACGAGGTGAAATTGAATTTCATAATGTAACGTTCCATTATCCCTCCAGACCAGACATAAAGGTAATTATTCATCATCCATCCTGTGAACACAATTACTGTAAACAATCAAAATATCCCGGTTCTGCCAGCAATTTCTAGATTTTCAGTAGAGTTTGTTTTCCAGAAGCCCAGACCCTCTGTTTAAAAGCAGACTAAATAATTCTTCTATTAAAGGGTTCTTCTACTTACCAATCTGCTTATTTTACCATTCTGACGTATCCATTGCCATACATACTCCTTGCTGCTGAACATAAACTTGTAGTAATTTCAGACAAACTCACCTGCATACAGCTTCTCTTACAATCAATTACGCACTTGTATCAACATGTGCTAGGATAGGACACAAAGTAGTAAGCTGAACGGTGCAAGGAGATTTTATAAAACTCTTCCATTACTCTGGGGATGCGCCATGTGACCCATTAAAATGCTAGGAAAAGGTACAGGAGCATTGGCTGTATACCCCATTATTTCCCTACTCTGTGTTTGAATTAACAAATTCATCTCAGAAAAGCAAATTATTGAATAAGCAATTGAGTGTTATTGCTTCTAAAGACAGAAGCATATGAAGTATCAGATTTTTCTATGTAATTTCACTGTTACATTCTTAATATTTAAGATTTAATAATGCCTTTAACAGGCATTCATAATACATGTACAATGATGTTCTTTAAAGGATATTTATTGCTAAGTTCTCCAATGGTATTAACTTGACTAGTTCTTAATGATGAACAACAGGAACAAACAAAGATCAAAATCTGCTTGCCTGTCATGGAAAACAGTGCTCTGCATTTATAAATTCTTCAAACAATATAAAAATATTTGGCTTTCTCTTTCCTTTCTTTCTTCATAATATTTTTCTGAATTTTGTAAAATTGCTTTGAATCTCCATTTTGAGATACAGAATATACCCACTTGGTTGTATGACTGTGAGAGAATTAGAATGGATAGATTCTGTTTTTTTTTTTTTTTTTCCTTTCCAGATTTTGGATAACCTTAATATGGTTATTAAAGCAGGGGAGACAACAGCTTTTGTTGGAGCTAGTGGAGCTGGAAAAAGTACAACAATACAGCTCATCCAGCGTTTCTATGACCCCACTGATGGCATGGTGAGTGTACCCGTCTAGAATGTGTTTCTCTAGCCTTAGGGACTTGAAAGAATGACATGGTTTCTTCTCCAAGCTGAGAAGGAAGACTCCTAACTTTCTTTTCTTTTTTCTTTTTTTAATAAGCGAAATATCCTCTTCTGCATTTCAGGGGAATGCTGAACAGTCTTATAAAAATAATTATGTGAAAGAGAAAAAACTGTTAGGAGAAAATAAAAATTCAGCGCTAAATCTGAGTAAAAACTATACCTATAGATACGATAACTCAGGAGTGACAAATAACGTTCTATTCTGGAAAACATAAGTATTGAATATTTAATCATTATCCCATAATATTGCTTTAGTATATGCAATTACCATTTAGTAATGGATTGGCTAAGAATATAAATTACATCTATTAACAGTCTAATTCCATTTATGTGTTCCTAGTTGGCACAAATCACATACATGGTGACCTGTATTTGAATGCATAAAAGACAAAGAACCAATTTATTGAAAACATATAATCATAATTTTGGTGATTACTTTCCACCTGGTTTTATTTCTGAGGCCAAGCAAAAAGAGGTATTGGGAAATGAAATCAAAGAGCACAACTCCTAAGCCCAAGAATGTGCATATACTACTGCCACTGCATTACATTCTTTTATTCTTTTATTCTATTATTCTTTTGATTGGACATGAGAGGAAAATTTTTCACAATGAGAACAGTCAGCCATTGGAATAATCTCCCCAGGGAAGTGGTTGACTCCACTACACTGGACACTTTTAAGACTCAGCTAGACAGGGTGCTGGGCCATCTCATCTAGACTGTGCTCTTGCCTAGAAAGGTTGGACCAGATGATCCTTGAGGTCCCTTCCAACCTGGTATTCTATGATTCTATGTATGAAAGCTGTTTTTTACACTGGTCATGGAAACACAGCATCACAGGCCCTTAATTTCCATTGTGTCTTTCTTTGTCTCTGAACTGGAGGGGACAATCTCCCTGACTTTTTTCCTTTTTTTTGGTCCATGTTTTAATTGGCTTCTGTAGATTACCCTGGATGGCCATGACATTCGTTCCCTTAATATCCAGTGGCTGCGCTCACAGATTGGTATTGTTGAACAAGAGCCAGTGCTGTTTGCCACCACGATTGCAGAGAACATTCGCTATGGTCGGGATGAGGCTACCATGGAAGACATAATCAAAGCAGCCAAACAGGCCAATGCTTACAATTTCATCATGGACTTGCCACAGGTAGGCTGTGCCTTGTAAAATGTCAGGCAGAATTTGATGGAAAAATCAAGAATCCTTTTGTCTCTCTCCCCATGCAGCCATTTGTGCTCAGGTGGAAGGGCAGAAGATGAATATAAATAGTAGGCAGCAACGTTTCCTTTGACTAGAGTTAATTAGGTCTTGCTACGTGTATGTCACCAAGTTAAAAAAAAAAAACAAAACACAAACCAAGAAGAATTAGTTCCTCAGGAATCATATGCATAGCATTCAATAGCATGGTAATAATCATAGCATGATTTTAAAATATGTATTTTTCATGTTGTGGAGATCTGTTTCTGCTCAGACCAAAAGCAATTTAGAGCCCAGACTCTCACTAGCCAACATATATTTTTGAGCAGTCTGTACTGATCCTCACAACCTCATTTCCTTGTACAAGCTCTGTAAGTTAGCTGGAGGTTCCCTCTTCCCCAGTTCCTTCCCTTATGATGACAGGGCTTTGATCAGTCCTATGGTATCCTCCTTACAAAGCCCATATTTGATAGTAATGGACTGTTTACTTTTCTAGAATGTTGTTTTGCCAAGTAGCTTCTCAAAGGGACATGTTACAACAGTGAACCTGATTGACAGGATTCAAGTACCATTAACTAATGTCAGTACCTACTTTTTATCCTCCATCTATGCATTTCCAGGCTTCCAGGAAACTATTCATAGAAAGACTGTGTAAAGGCTCCTGTTTATTTCTTGTAAATGGAGGAATAAACAAGATTTGGCTCTAGGTGAATATAATTAAACTGGCTCTTGAGATGCTAGGCTTTATGTGTTTATTTACCTGAACCTAATGCCACCAGAGTATGATGTCCATGAATCACAGCCAGTGTTTATGATTCATAGGCTATCAGTAGGCAAGTCCAGCTCTGTGGAAGGTTTGCTAGTGAGTCATTTGATGGAGAGTAGGTAGGTGTTTCCTCTCCATTTCAGCTTTTGCTGATATAGTCATTTTGAGCCAAACTGGAACATCACCTTTTTATCCGTACATACTTTTGGCTTGGGGTTGGAACCCCAGTTCAGGCAAAATGATGTTGTTCATTATGAAGGAAGTTACTTCATCAGCTCTCCTTTGAATCTGGTGCACTAACAATGTTTTTGTCTCTCAAAGACAATAATTTTTTAAGTCTGCTCCCAGGACAAATCTGAGAGATGTTTTACCGATGTCTTCCCCAGAAGCTTAACAGACATTTTTGTTATGTTTCATTTTCATTTTCCTCCTTCACACAGCAATTCGACACTCATGTTGGAGAGGGTGGAAGCCAGATGAGTGGAGGTCAAAAACAGAGGATAGCTATTGCTCGAGCTCTTGTGCGAAACCCAAAAATCCTGCTACTGGATATGGCTACGTCAGCACTTGATAATGAAAGTGAAGCTACTGTCCAAGAAGCACTTCATAAGGTTTGCTATAGCATAGCATAAATCAGACTTAAAAGGGCAGAAATTATTTTTAATGCAGTCTGCAGAGGGTACTGCTGAATTGCAACAAAGCAGTGAGAAGCTTTTCTCAATAGCTGTTTCATATGCACAAGTAGAACCTTAGTATTATTGACAGAAAATAATTTTTTCTTACATTGGGGCATTAACAGAAATCTATAGCTCCCTTTGCTCAGAAACAGGTGCTCATCTATGGGCTACAGGTGGAGTTCAAGTCAAAGTCAGCTGAAACCACTAGAAAGACTCCTATTGATTTGACCAAACTTTAGATTACGTAGCGCTGGTCCTAAGCATTTCTGTTTGCTATCCTGGGAATGGGGCGGTTGTTCCCTCTCAGGCTCGCCTTGGCCGCACAGCAATCTCAATAGCTCACCGCCTGTCAGCCATCAAAGCTGCCGATGTCATCGTTGGGTTTGAGCATGGGAGGGCTGTGGAGAGAGGAACTCATGAGGAACTCTTGAAGAGGAAAGGGGTTTATTTCATGTTGGTGACCTTGCAAAGCAAAGGAGACACAGCACTTAACAAAGAAGAAACGGAAAGTAAGTGTTTTGTTTTCTTTTATAAAATGACATAAAATTCCACAAAATGCCAATTTTTTTTTTTTTTTTAAATGAGGGCTAGTTGCTTCTTTTTTTTTCTTCTGTCTTTATGGCTGAATTTTAGCATTCATAGAAGTAATACATTAACAGCCCTGGCCAAAGTGTTTTTACTGCATATGCACTGAATGACCTTCCTAATATAGATCTGCCCTGAAACATTAATCCTGACCTGCAATACCTGTCATTTTATAGCTCCATTTCATGCTGACGGTCCAGTCCTGCTGCATTTGAAATGCAAGCAAATTGCAGAATATGCTGTAAACCACCCTATTTGTTTTACTAGAGGCAGATTTGAATCAAAGCTTTTGGAAATGGAGGTCTAATAGAATGATCTGTTGTATTTTTGTGAAGCATCATACCTTGGATAGGATTATCTTAAAAGAAGAGAGCAATTACAGTGCTAAAATAGGGAAACAGCCTTTAGCAGTCACATCCCAAGTGAGACGGTCCTTGGGTTAATATTCAGTTAACTTCATCATGCCAAATACAAATATAAAACTTGTGGTACATGTAGGTTGAGTAGCAAAGTTGTATTACATTCCTTGCCTTCTACAAAGTATTCCAGTTACAACTTGGAGACACGGCACTTTTTTGCAGAGCCACAGTGAACTTAGGTTGTATTTAATTTTGGCACAAACTGAAGAGCTCTATATACTATATTTTACAGCAGCAGAAAATAATGTGGTTGAGCCAAATCTTGAGGAAGTCCAGTCATTCAGCAGAGGAAGCTATCAGGCCAGTTTACGGTGAGTCTTAAAAATTATGGTAAATCTCAATATGTTTCCAGATCTCTATATTTATTTTGTCCCACTATTCCAAAATCCCAATAGTGCTAATGAATCACTTCTCTGTATGTTGCATTAAAAAGGGTGGAAAGGCTGCAAGCATTTTACTAAGAGTTCGCTTGGAAACAAATAGCTTGTGTAATATGTTACTGATTGAAGGCCCATGGATAAATAGCAAGACTCTTAATTTTACTCCCCTTTCTATCCATAGCACCTTCTCTCCAATTCTGGTCTACTGTGTTAATGTTCCATTTTTAATATTACTACCATACAGCCATATATTTGTATTACCTGATGCACTTTCAGTCCAGTCACTTGAAAAATGACTTGCTGTGCAATTACTTGAGAAATCAATGCAGTGTACAAGGACATTTTTATTATGGCTTCTACTTCATGAAAGTTAAAGCATTTTACAAGCCAGACTGTCTTGTAGGTAGACACTTGTTATTTCTTTCTGGCAAGCCCGTGTCAGACATATGCAAGTGAATACATGTCTCCTGCATTACAGGGTTATGTTTTGTTAGGGATAGAGGTGGACTGTTTCAGCATCCTGTTTTGCTGGACTGAATTACTTGATAGTGATAACGGTGAATAGACTTGGTGTCTTAACATCTTGTGCAAATATAGTAGGATACACCACAATTTTGCTTAACAAATACACAATGCAGGGTACATATAAGACAACATATGAGTGGTGGGGGTGGAATATGATTTGAAAAAGTATTTGTGCCTGTTGTGGGATATTTTCTTCTCAAGAAGTTGAGAGAACGTAGAAAAAGAAAGAAAAAGTTGTGGGATTCCTATGACTTGCTTCAGTGAATCCTGATTTAGTTGATATGAAAACTGCACCTGCTTTGCAATCAAGTATTGTGTTACTGACCTGTGAAGAACAGCCCATTTCTGTCCTCTTTACAGAGCTTCACTTCGGCAGCGCTCCAGATCTCATCTCTCTAATGTGGTCCCGGACCCTCCATTATCCATTGCAAGAGAACACACAGAGTCTATGTATCTTATGCCATCTTATGGAGAAGAAGATGGACAAGCAAAAAAGGTCAGGTCCAATAGTTCGTTATTAAATTTTCAGCCAAACAGGTTATATTACGGGGTAATGATAACCTGTAGACATGTGCCTCTCTTATAGGAGTGGTTGGCAGATATGTCTTCTTGGATTGATCCTTTTCTCTACTTAAACAAAACCACAGCTTCAGTTCTTATCCTCCATGTAAACCCTAGGCTGTATTTTGATGGCTGTTATTGGTCCATATAAAACTTCTAGCAGAGCATGACCTGTTGGTGAATTGATATATGTTGCAGATTAAGTTGAAAAAGGCATATTCATAAAAGCTGAATTAACTGACAAAAAGCAAAATGCTCAACCTGTGAAATGTAATAGCCACTCAGTGATACAAATGACACTGCTTCTTGTTCAATAAAGAGTAAATTCACTTTTGTCTCAAAATCATCTGGAGACTTGAGTAAAGAGAGACCCTTACTGCAACCTATCCCAGTCCTTGTGCAATCAACTAGCATAGAAAATAAAGACAGCATGCATTAAAATTATGCAGAATATGTAGGAATATACACAGTGGGTTTCCAAAGTGCTTATGAAGCTCCCTGCACCAATTTGCATGGCTACGGTTGTTCAGTGCAGAGAGCAGCAGTTAGAAGTCACTGTTCTTGCTATTGCTAAGCCTATTCTGTGGATAAATAGAGGGCTTTAGTGCTGTCACTCTGGCACTAGTTCAGAAGGAAGAGAAAATACAAGATGCTTCCACCCATTCATCCTTGCACATTGCCAGCAGATAGGTCTTCACAGTGTCTGTTTTGTCTGGGCATTTCCAGCCATAGGAACTGAGGGAGATGGGCAGGGCTCAGCACACTGAGTGTTAGAAAAATTCTGCACAAATCAAGCTGCAGGGTAAGTTATAATTGGATGATGAATATTCTGCTCTTACTGGGAATAATTATGGGAATTCAGCATATAGTCTGAGGATATTTTACAAAAGGGAAGCATAATTAGCATGTATAAAGCCTGAATCCAGCTATCACTCTGAGATCTCCCTTGTTTTAATTATATAGCATACCTGTTAATTTGATGCAGAGTCTGATTAGTGTGCTCACCCACAATACTTTAAAGTAATATTTAAGAAGATTCCATGAGTGACACAAAAAGCCACTTGTGAGGAAGAAGTTTAAGTTTTGGCACTGGGTATTGCATCACACCTTGTCTGGAGGCAGCAAAAATGGAACAGCCTGAGTTTCAGTGGCAGAAAATCTTAAACTAGTCGTAAATAACCTCTTAAGTTGGAATCGGTAGAGTGCACAAGGCACAAATCTCTCTCTTTTTCTCCAGGGACTGTAAAGGTAGTAATTTATGTAAACCTCTTGTGACTCCCTAGTCCTACAAAAGAGCTTCAGACAGCAGCCAAGACCCATCACTGCCCCTTCCCGTACAAAGCTAGAGCAGTTGTTTGGTCACTAGATGGCCATTTAACAGATTGTGCTAACTATTTTATCTCACTGTCAAAGGGAGAACATCACTGGGGGAATACATTTGCTTCATAAATCCAACCTGTTTTTTTAGGAATCTGTTGTTGTGGAGGAAGATGTCAAGCCTGTATCATTTACCAGAATTTTGAAATACAATGCCTCTGAATGGCCATACATGGTGCTTGGATCTCTGGCAGCAGCTGTGAATGGAGCAGTCAGTCCACTCTATGCTTTGTTGTTCAGTCAAATTCTTGGGGTATGTTATGCTAACATTTTAAAGTGTATTTTAGCTCTGAAGCAGAGGGGAGTGAATGTATGGTGCAGAACTTGACATGTTTTGGGCAAATCTTTAGATCTCGTCAAGTAAATGGGGTTAGCCTTCTTGCCTATAAACAATTATTCAGTAGAGATATTTATATCACTGTCATCATACTATCATTTGAGCTCTTTCAAGCGGTAGGCTCATTAGCATTTGTCATGTATTCTTCATTATCTGTCTCGTTCACTTTCCAGAACCGTTGGGAGTGGGTTTCTATACTTGCGTAGAGTTCATTTTAGATGAGATGAGATGTATCTCACGTGCAGGTACAGTGGAGAGAGAGACATGCAGAAGTCCTTCCCTGCAGAATTTTATTCTACAGACTTGGCCAAACCTTTGAGAAAGCTTTGGATCAGATCCAAAAAATACTTCACTTTTTTGTTCATATATTTCAGGCAGCTCTTTGCTGCCTGTTCCCTGCAGAATGCCAAGGGAGAGGTAGACAATTGTAACAGGGTTCATAGCTGCCAGCAAAAAGTAGACTTGCATCAACAAGTTTGGAAGACAAGCAGGAAATAGGAATATGCTTTAAACCTTGGCCTTCACTAAAGGATGCATTACCATCAAAATCCACAGGCTCACTTGAAAGTTTTCAAGAGTTCAACTGTGACTGTTTTTTCCTTCAAAAACTTGCCATAATAGAAAGAGGATGCTTCCCCTTTTGTGAAACAGCTTTCTGGGGAAGCAGTTGCCAGGTTAGTGGGAACTAGAGGGCTGCCTGAAGAAATTCAGCACTGCTCTAACTAATGCCTAGGAAAGTGTTCTAAATTTTCAAGAATTAGGAGGATAGAGAAAACCCCTGTGTTGATGCTTATTGGGTAAAGTAATGACATATTCACCGTGAAGAAAATGGGAATGCCACTATCGTTTTGTGGTTTGGCTACCCACCTGAGATAGGATAAAACTTGTGTTGCGATTCCCACTTACTTGTTTAGGTCATGGTAGGTACATATGCGTGCAAAGAATATATGACCTAAAGGGCAGACACTCTTCTAGAAACTGGAGGTCCGAAACCTTTCAGGCAGGAAA